AAATAAATAACAGAATTAATTATCTATGAAATTTAATCAAATCATTTTAAATGCATCGATAGTAAATTGTTTAGCATTCCTTTTCTTATGGTTTATTTTAAAACGTTTCCTAATTTTTACTTCTGCAATTGAAAAGTTTTCCCAATTATGATTATCTTCAATATTGTATTTTTCGTTTCATTAAAATCATGCATACTTCAATATCAATATGTTTAAAAATACAAGCAATTAAAATATACAAAATAATAGTTTTTAATTTTAGTAGTGACTGAGATAAATCACATTCGTATTTTCATGAAAATGATAATTTTTCAAATACATAAATTTAGATCAATGTTCAAAATAAAATTGGGAATTGAAAATATTAAATTATCTGATACAAAGAAATAACAGTATTATTTACGAGTTTCAATAAAAACATTTTAAAACTAATGATAGTAAATTGTCTAACATTTCCATTTCTAAGACTTACTTATAAAAGTAAAGAATAATTACTTAGTATTTTTTACTTTTCAATATTATTCAATAATAGTAGAGAATCTTTTGAATTGTAAGATATAAAAATGTTTACGTCATTTTTAAGAATATTTCTTTAAATTTTGAAATAAAATTGTGATCGAAGTTGGTCTAATTGTTCTTTGAGAAATCAGATTTTAAATATATAACATTTTTAAAAATTCGATAATTCAGAAACTATTTCATTAAAATTTTGTATCTCGTTAAAATTTTATATTTTGCCATGTAAAATTAAAAACTTGAAATTATAGAAATTAGTTTTAGATTTATAATTTTTCTACTATTATTCAATAAAAGTAAAAATTAGTAAAAAATATTTTGCAAGGGATTATCTTGGATAAACGATTTTCATAATTGAGTGCAAAAATGTTTTAATTCGCTTAAAAAGTTCTCGAGGTACGTCAAAGTATGCAAAGAGTAAAATTAGCATTATGGGGTCCAAACTTTTGATCGCTCTTTGACCAGACCATAGTTTTGCAACTACCCTCCATATTTGAAGGTTAGGACTCCGAATCCGTCGAAGAAAAATTATGTTTATTCAGCGAAAGTACGTTTTCATGTCTGATTTTGTAACAAACTACCATCTGCACTATTTAATTACACATTTAAGTTTAGGCTCTCAAACCATTTAGATCGTGTTTAAGAATTAAAATATCTTTCCATTAGATCAAAAGTTATTCACTGCGTTCCCTTTTTTATTTTGAGCACTTTGCACTAAAATGCATGCTGTTTTTATTTCATTACAGATACTAATTAATATTTGCATTAAATTAAATTAATTTTTTGTTCGGACTCTTAATTTTAACAATTATTATTCAAAAAAAAGTTTAGCATTACAGTAAAAAATCTTTTTTTAAATATATATTTTTCTTCAATTTTAAACAATAGTTCATTTTAGATGTAATTTCAAAAAAAAATGTTTTCTTCTTTTTCATTGGTTTTTTTAATGCATTTTTAAAAAATTCCATCTATTGTTTTCTGTGTAATAATCAGTTCAAAAATCAAAATTCAACTAATCTCAGAATTTAAACAAAAAATTGTATTTACATAAAAAAAAGACTTAATTATGTGCAATATTGAAAGGGGGGATTAGGATATATAGCACATAATATTTTGGGAAGCTTTTGGTCCATTTTGTAAATGCCTTTACATTTCCGGGCGCCACATGTGTATGGCTTTCTTAAAATTATTATAATAACGGTATATATGAGTAGTTATGGTACATAACCATTATGGTATGTATGGTATACAGAGCTACTGCTTAATGACAAATATATAAAATTGACAGTTATCATCTAAAAACTACTGTTTCTGACGTCTAAGCAAGACTGATGATCTCAACGGCCTTATTTCTTTTTGATTATGTTTTAACCATGCAAAGAAAAGTCAAAATTAGGATTATAAATGACAACCAATGTAATAGAAACCTAACTCCCTAATTTGAAAAAAACAAAACAAATAAATGTAAAGAAAATAACAAAACAAATTAAATAAATAAAAATATGCAAAAAAGAATACCAATTTTCGAAAAATTAAATTATGAATTTTTTGCGTTGTTCAATTCAATAACGATACATAAACTATTGGAAAACTAAATACGTACTGATGATAACTAAGATACGCCATTCGTTCCCTCTGCGATTTGGAGCAAATAAACACCACCTACTTATGCTTATATCACCTAACATATAGAATAAAGTTTCAATTTTTTCTAATAGAATTACTCTTTTGGTTGATTATTTTTATATTTGCGGTATTCTAAACCAATTTAAGTTTTTATATGATTCTTTTTTTTTAAATAGAAAGGCTTTTTTGAGATTAAAGCCACTTTAACAGCAAAAAAGCGAATCTTAGAACCGTCAGGCTTTATCATCATCATTTTTGCTGTCCCCTTTTAGGATTCCCTATATATTGCAGTGCTTTTTCTAAATATGAACAATTTCTTTTTTTCCATTTCTCAAGTTTTATGCTATTGCTTAAGTAGTGCAGATTTGTGGGGTCCAAATTAAATGATCATTTAAAAATGCTTTAATAAATCTAATTTTTTTAATCTTATAATTTTAATGCATAGTTTTTTTTTCTATTGCACCATCAAAGGTGGAGATTACTGTATTTTCTTTCCCAGTTGAATTTTGTGATAAAATGAAAGACAAGATTTTTGAATTTTTCACACTAAAATTTCAATTTTTAAATATATATATATATATATATTCAAGAAGTTTTTTTGAATATAAGAGGCACAGGACCTCTCAAGAGTCCTAGAAATGTGTCACCTTAAGCAAACTACCTGTTTGTCTAATCCTTTACGGCGGCTGTGTATTCGTATAAGCCGTTTTTGAATATAAATGCCTAGTTGAACTAAATAACCTGCACATCAGCAATACCAAAATATCCTAAGATATTGTACAGCAAACTAGTACTTGCGTGAGCGCCTTCAACCTTAGCCTCAAATGTGTGGTAAATGACGCATTGTGTTATTAAAAAGCCATTATAAACCAAAACACTATTGTCTAAAAATGACTAACAAATTCTATACATATCACATCAAGATGTAAAAGAGATAAAAACGAAAGCGGATGCGTCTCATCTTCAAAAAGAAGAAACAATACTTGAAGAGATTTTCCCATCAGAAAATGTTTTAGTTCATTGCTTAAAAAAGAAGATTCCTTTTAATTTTTTACTCTATTTCATACAATTTGAAACTGAATTTAAAAAATTAAAAATATTACATTCGCATTTCGTTTCCGGCAAAGATCAAGATATCTTAATTTAGAGTTCAGTGACCCAATCGATGAAAATTTTGCTTTGATGAACTATTGTTGGAGTGATAAGTTATTAAATCTACTATTGTACAATAAAAAGCAGGTATATTCATAAACTGTAGCGTAATCTTAAAAGACTTTCGTTTTATTTTATTTTATGACAATGTATTTTATCAAATAATATTCGAAAAACTTTTGAGTTGTAAGGTATACAAGTTTTTACATCATTTTTCAGAATGTAATTTCAAAGGGCCAAATATAAATCTCGAACGACATCGGTCAGATAATTCAATTTTTTTTCTTCTTAAATATGCGACTTTTTTCAAATTTTGATAATTCAGAGACTATTCGACCGAATTCATTAATATTTTATACTGTACCACATAAAATTATATTCTTGAAATTATAAAAATTAGTATAACATATAATTTAGATTTTTTGTACTATTATTCAATAAAAAAAATATTAATTTTTTTTGCATGGAATTTTCCTTGGGTAAACGAATTTCATAATTATATGCAAGAATTTTCGATTCGCTTAAAAAGCTCTCGAGGTACGGCAAAGTACCCAAAGAGTAAAATTAGTATTAAGGGATCAAGCTTTCGATCGTTCTCCTGATTAATCTGTTGTCACCATATTTTCCAGATTGAAACTACCCTCCGAGTTTTGAGGGTCGAGCATTCAAATCCAACAGGAAATTTTTTTTACTTTTTTGTCTCTAAATTTAAAATAAAATATTGTCTAAACTATTTGATTACAAATTTATGGTTAGGCTCTCAATCCATAAGGATCGAGTTTTAGTACTTGAAAATCCAACCAATAAATCAAAAGTTATTCAGTGTGCTCAGTTTTTTAAAAAAAATTTTATTTTGTGCAATGTGCACTAAAAATAAAAGTTGCTAGCATTTAATTGCCAAAAATACTTTAATTAGTCTGGTCTTCTACATTTTATTAAATATTAGAATTCGATTTTAGATAAACCTAAATCTATATACCTTTTAATTTATTTTTGCAGATTTAATTGTATACCTTTTTATTTTAAATCTCGACTTTTATAAAATGCAGTTTATTTTACCCTTCCAAATGCCGAAACACTTTTGCAAACATGCATTTAATATTATTATCAGCATTGGCTCTTATGCAAACTGAATTTCATTTGAAATGTAAATAAAATATTTACGAATTATTATTTACTAATTAAATATTCTAAATTAAATTCTAAATAAATTGAATGCTGAGCTTTTTGAAATTTTTTTCTCTTTAGCAAAACAAATTACCCACACCCTGATGGCTCTTGAGCAAAATAATCTACAAACTATTTTATATTACAGTTTTCGATAAGAATTCTAAAAGTACATAGTAAGTTCGGTCTTTATGAAACACCCTGTTTAGTTGTTTACATCTTATATTATATTACATATTTAATTACTCTGGTCTGATGCATCGAATGGTAGATGGTCCATTAGTTTACTTAGTTTTATAACTTAGTTTACCGATTAATCAGCCTAATTAGTATTACTCAACTTTAAACTTTTACTTACTTTCAACTCAACAGATTAAATATAAATTAAATAACTTTATAANATTAATATATATATATATATATATGAAGTATAATATAATATGTGTACAAAATATCCCTTAAACATGCAATTGCGAACATGAAAATTTTAAAAAAACTAGCTCAAAACAATGTTTAAGAGATCAGCTTTCAAAACTTACCTAACAAAATGACTTTAAATGCACAAGTAGTTAAAGTAATTCTAAATGACGCTATTTTATTCGAACTTCACAAATTAATTCTTGTTTAAAAACAATGGAGACTAGTTATAGATGAAGGCTTTGTTTATTGGTTATTGCAATTACATAAATTTTCAGGCTTGTGTGCTCAAAATAGGCTTATAAACCTTCGTCAAGTGGAAAAGGACAGATAGCACAATAGGAGAGATAGCACCAAGTAGTACCGCCTCCTTGGAATCCAGTTATGTTCCGGGCTTTGTTTATTGCTACAGCATATATTTGCAGGCTTGTGTGCTCCATTAAGGCTTATTAACTTTTGTCAAGTTGAAGGACAAGTAGCACATTACATAGAAGGACAGCACGGAGATACATCCAGGGTAACAGCGGGTTTCGAACCCACTTCCTCCACGGTTCCTACTGTGATTGGATGAGCCACCCCTCTACCAGGGAAGCCCCTAAGTAAACTTTAGGGAGTTTTGATTTATTGGTACACATACATATGCAGGCTCATGTACACAATTACATAAGTGTGGCCTATAAGTATTTGTCAGGTAAAAAAACAGATAACACAATCCAAAAAAATGCAGTACGAATATACATCTAGGATTACTGTGGGTTTTGAACCCGTTACCTCAAAGCTACATGGGTTTCAGTGGATGATACTGCTTGGTTAAAGCGGCTCCAATATACAAGCATTTATAAAAGTATTAATGTATTTGATTATACATTGCACAAAATGGTATAAAGGAAGACCTCTGGAATTTAGTGCGTGCGAGTAAAACAACCAAACTATCTTTCAGCTGTCTTTTTTAAATTTGTGTTGTTGTTGTTGTTGTAGTTCATTTACGTCACACAAGAGCTGTACAGTGGACTATTGACTACTGTCTGTCAAATTCGTGCTATCTGTTCTCTTTGATTTGACCAAAATAGTAACAGTAGTTTATTTACGTCACTCTAGAGCTGCACTATGGTCTATTGTTGATGGTCTAGAAAACATCCCGTAAAATGATCCGAAAGACATGCCATCCCAGTTGTGATCCTCTGCAGAGCTTTCACAGCTTTGATCGTCCGATGATCTGCGCGCAAAGTTGAGCACTTAGTGGTAGAACAGTTCAAGAAGAACCGAAACCGCGTACCCTCTATCCCTTCGCCGTTTGATCAAAGTGACTGACTGCTACCAGTGATGCTTGACTTCGGTGATCTACGGAGAACCGTGTCTTTACGATTTGTCCACAGCGGGACGATGTGGCAGGAAGCATGCTATTCTTTGTACTGAACACAAGAGCCCAATTACAAATAAAGTTAACAAACGTTCACTAACTAAAATAGATGTTATTAAACTAAACTTTTTTGAGTTATCTCAAATTATCCCTGAAATATCGAAATCACCAATTTTAGAAAAGTTATCAGCTTTACCACATTTGATATTAAACAGTATGCTAATAGAACCATATATCTTTTTTAATTTTACCAAAAGCCATTACAAAAGTGCAATGGCAATAAATACCTAACTTTTTGGTGTTACTATACTGATGTTCCAATAATAAAAACCATCCTTCTTTCCTCGGTGTATAATAGTATTTAATATTTTCTTTAATGTGGCTAAGTTTAGGGTACGTGTCTGTTAAATAATTTACTTTAATTCTAAATTAAATATCATTATATGGAATTCCATTCATAATTAAACTGAATAATTATAATCGAACACCATTTTGCATTTGCTTTTTAAAACAAAAATAAAGTTCGAATATGTTCGGAAATTTAACAGCAAAAATAAATTATATTCGCTTTCTAACTTATTTAGATTCAAATTTGCATAACATATTTATATGCTGTTTTTGCAACAAAAATTTTATGTAAAAGCAGGAAACTAATTTACAGTTTTTAAAAAAAGTTTGAGAAATACTGATTTCATTAAAATAAAAAAATTTATGTTTTCATTGTCTCTTTAAATATGTTAACTGTAATGAAGAGGTCCATAGTAACCAACGTTATGCTGAAATAAAAAAAAAGATTGAAGTAGATCATATTTTCCTTTCACGTCATAAAACAATGAAATAAAGTCATTAAGATTTTGCAACAAAAAGTTCAAGTCACAAAAAAAAAGTCAAAAATTATTTACTTTCTCATCGTGAAATTTCTCAACACCTAAAATATATAAAGAAAACCTTGAAAAAGGGTAAGAATTTTTTTTCTTTGCAAGATTGCGGAAGACCACACAGTCTATTTTCGGAAATGGAAGAGAAAAAAGCTTCTCACATACGCAATTCAAACAGATAAAAGAGTATAGGACGAGTTTTGCACCAAAGGGTTCCTTAGGTGGGTAATAATTAACCCTGTAATCAAAAGTGAAGATCGAACGACTCGTGAAACCATTCAGAAGTATTATACGAGTTCACGGTAGTTCCTGCCGAAGACATAGACAGGTGGTGGGCAGGTCAGGTTTTAATTTGAGCTTGTTGGGAATTTTATCGAACCGGTTCCTATTCACCAAGAATCTTTATGAATCGTCTATAGAAAACAAAGATTGAAAAAAAAATTCAATACAAAATTATTAGAAAGTTAAATTGTGTCGTACATGCTGATATTGTTATGTTAAGTATTATAATTCCTTATAAAATTTCAAGAATTCGTTTAGAGGATCCTTATTTCTAGTTAGGATTGCTATTTTTTTTTCATGTTGTCCAATTAGAGAAATGCAGATTAAATTTAATTAAAATGCATCAATTTACAAGTTTTTAATCACAAAGTGAACCAACATGAGACAACTAAACTTATAAAAGTTCGGATTTAATTTGGACAGGTAAATTTCGGATTTAAATTAATCCTAGTTGTGGGGGTAATTAAATGGAAAGCGGGAACTTAGTGACTGGTTCAAGGGAACCAATTAAAACTCATTTTGAATGAAAAGTATTTTATAACACGTTATTTTAATTTTGTCACTTAGTGAAGACGATAAATTTATACATAAAAATTTTGAAGAATGGTGAACACTAATATCAATGAAACCTGCTGTGATCTTAGATACAATCTGCAATTAAGATCTTAGGGAGATAATTACCCATATTATAGTACTTATTAATCTTTCTTAAATTTAATTGCACAATTTTCACAATACTATGGTTCAAAGTAGATGTTGTTGTTTAACGTTTTCTGAGAATGTATCTATTGGCTGAAAATGCATATAAATAAATACAATAATGTAAGAATATTTCTGTATATATATATAGATACCGGAAGAGTGCTTTAACTCTCTCCGGTAAGTGTAGCCAGTCTGGTAACACAAATAAATTCAACAACTATCATAAAAACCATTAGAAAACTAAAATTAATTAGTTATAAACGTTTAGTAACCACTATGTTTTAAACAACTAAGAGATAAAGTATGTCGCTTTACTTCAGATATAAGGTCACACTTGCTTATGTTCTGCCTGACTAAGAATTTCAATCGAAATTCGCTGTTCCATAAAAGACAAATATCAAAAATGTACGTTTTAATACAATTAAACCCTAATTTCGAATGTTAAGTTTTTTGAACTGAACAATTTATGTATCGATTTTATTTTTTAATGAAAAAAAATGATTCTATGTTTTCATAAATGGCTATTAAATTTATTTTATGAATTAGGCCGCATAAGAATAAATTGTTTGTGTTATCTTTCATTACTTATTGAAGTAAAAAAAAATCAAAATTTGTTTTTTATTTTAGTAATAAGTGATTGTATCAACGTAGTTAATGGAAAATAGGGTTGAGTAAATAAAAACTAAGGGAGGAGAATAGTTTAAACGAATTTTCTTAAAAATGACAATTAAATCGACAAATCAGTATTGCGAAAAAAATCAGTTTTCCCTGAGAGTTCCTACGCAGTGAAAATGGGCCATTCTGTGGAAATAACCTTCCTTTCCGAGGACAAAATCGATTTTTCTCTGAATCATCTTCTGAAGATGAGCTTTTTTTCCCCGAGGTCTTAATGTTATGTTCTTAGATAATTTTGTTAATTTACATACATGTCCCTAATGCCAGTAAATCGAAGAAAAAGAGCTCATTTATAAATAATTGACTACTACATCCAGATTTAAAATTGTTTTTATTCATGCTAAGTGTCCTATTCTTAAGATATAGATACTAACAAATCATGTAGACTGTTAATTTTGGAATAAATATTTGATAAATTTTCTGAAGCATTATTTATTTTTACATAGCTATAAAAACCGTTAACAAATTTATTATATTTTGAACTAGACTTCTAAACAAATTTCCAAATTTTTTTCAATCTTAATACAAACAAAAAATTTTGCCTTCTTTTCATATTTGAATCCATAATAGAGCCAAACGTGAACCGAAAAAAACGAAAAAAATTGCTTAACGTGAACTTTTTCATGATTGTTTTCGTGAACCTTTGCAGCGAGTTCTAACGATATTATTGATCAAAGTATTCATATAAATATTTAAAAATGAATCAATTTTTAGAATCTTTAATGAAAATGGTTGACCTCTTTGAAATATCAAATAAAGTTATCTAATTTAAGGTTACGCTGAAACTAATCTCTATTTGACCTGAAGGAAATGTGTTAATTTTTTTTAAATAATTTTAAAAAAATTAGTAAATTATCCGGCATACTCAAACCGTAATTTAAATATTCATCTTTTCTAAAGGATCAGAAACTCATCAGTCAAGTTTGTTCAGTTTTCAAGTGAACCGTAGCATACTTCTTAATGTGCCTACTTTCATTCTCAATAGGTGAAACGAACTTTTCAAGTTAATTTTAACGTCCAAAAGGTTTTCACGCAAAATTGAGCATTTCATACCCCAAAATAACTGTTTACCGTGACCCGAGAAGATTAACAAAAATGAAACAACTAGACAGTTAGTTATCTCAGTTTTTCAGGTGTGATTGAATTAAATTTATAATGGGCTGGAAAATACTTGTTTAAATAATTTAAGCGAACTTATAATAAAGGATAAATAAATAAGTTTTATGAACAGTAATTCTATCCAGTTTTGTTCAACTGTGCTGAAAATTTGTTTATTCTCGCCTTCTCTCGTTATATTTCTCCCTTTCTCTCTCTCTCTCTCTCTCTCTCTCCCTCCCTTTCTCTCTCTCCCCCTTTCTCTCTCTCTCTCTCTCTCTCACTCCCTTTCTCTCTCTCCCTTTCTCTCTCTCTCTCTCTCTCTCTCTCTCTCTCTCTCTCTCTCCGTTTCTCTCTTTCTCCTTTCCCTTCTCTTTTAACAATGCTGAAAATTTACAAAAACTCCAAAAAAATACATTTAAATGATGAAAACAATAAGTTTTTTTTTCAATTAAAACACGAGATATAACTTCATTTCTTTTCTTTTTCCTTAATAAAGTTAAATTAATTAGCTGAAACTTCAATGGCTCTTATCAACATCATTATTTATTATGTCTTTTTTCTAACTTTATACGTAATATATCTCAAAATCTATTGAAAACAAGTGTATGACGTTTGGAATATATAAA